TATTTATCTGCTTTATCTGCATTTTACGCATTTATATTATCGCACTGCAATACGTCCAAAAGAAGAACCTGCGCATGACTTAAACAATCGTGCGTATGCATCTACATTTGCATCATACTCCCCATTGATCCTTGATCCCATTCAAGTCGATCTTCTAAGTTTAGATCCTACCCCATAGGAAGGACCCTTTTCTTTACAACTTAGAACAAACAACTCAACAACAAGGATTCAAACACAATAGAGAAATAGATGTTAATCATCTTAAACGAGATAGAATCTCCACCCCACATCAATACAATCAATATGTAGGGACTTTGCCTTAAGAGAGATAGAGACGTACTCGTCGATCAATATCCGAGTACTTGAGCCCTTCTCTTAAGACGATGCAAAGACTATTTTCTTACACTTGTGGCGGTTAAATCTCTCTTAAAATGACAACTCGTCTTTTCTCCTAAAACAAATCAAAACAACTGCCCTAATCCCGTAGGAACTTTGACCACAGTCAAAGAACTCCTAAAATCCTTTAGGGGAACTACAGATACTCTGATTCCACTCCCGTAAGGATATGTAGGCATAAGATGCGATATCTTATCGAGTATACTTAGAAATAAACCCCCTAGGTCTTTCAACCATTAAGCAGATAAACACTTAGCAATAAACAACATAAAACAAGAGGTTCCTGTAGAGTACTACAGAAACTTAGGATGCTAGCACCTTCCCTAAGTTTAACCAACCCCCAAACCTATAACTCTCTAGCTTGCATTTGCATTGCATTGTGGAAATTTCGATCTTTATCCCTTCCTTTGGACAAATCAAAGTTCGGTTGCAAAATGAATTAAAGATTCAAACTAATCAATAGTTTGGTATCCAAATTTCACCGCGACACATTTATAATAGGCGTGTTTAACAATTGTACAAAACTCTACATTTTACTCCTAGTAACCGCGTGTGAGAAAAGAGTGATTTTGAGAGAATGTATGATTGAATACTTCTTCTTTACAATCAAATTCATTTAAATTCCAATCGTTACCTTTACTTGCAATTACTTATCATTTCTCTTCAAATAATTTATTTTTCAATTTATTTTTCTGTAATCTACATTTCTTTTTTTCAATTACAAGAAAATCAGAAACGTTCCATTAATAACACTGGAAAATATTTGGAGAACATTGTATAAATGTTTGTGATCATTAAAACCAAGAACTAAATAACAACACATGTCTTAAGACCAATCTAGTTGATCCTGTAAGTGACCAAAAACTTAATAATTTTAGAGGACTAACAATTAGTTGTCATTTTTTGACGATAAACACCTTGCCCTCTGTGCTAGTTAGTCGTTTGCCTCGGAATGAGACGGAGATAAAGGATTGTATATCGGCACACGACTTATGTTGGAGATAAATATACCATGACTACTTTTATAAAGATTCATGATAGTTCATGGATATATTGTAAATATTTGAAAATGGTTTTATATTAAAGGACTACATAGGTGAAAAGGAGTTTTATAAATAAAGACAGAGTGAGTAGTATAAATTTTCTACCTTGGAAATAAAGACATTAGAAGATTTATCACAAAAATAATTGACATGAAGAATCAAACGTGACTTCTTGCCTCGCATGGCGAAAATCAACCTTTCAAAAAGAATATGTTACGCCCGTTCTACTGCAAACAGGTAACGCATAAGTCTCCTCACATGCAAGCAGCAAAACACCTAAACTGCTAGAATGTGCACAATAACATCATCCATAAAAACACATCAGTCACCCGTAGTAGCACAAACTACATTGCTCTGATTTCTCTTGCATGTTAAGAATACGTAGGCATAGGATTGCGACAATCCTAGCGAGCACCCTTTCCTCTTTTCCACCCTTTCCCCAGAAAGGCATGCTATGTCCGTTCTACCGCAAATAGGTAACGCCTGAGTCTCCTCACATGCGAGCAACAATACACCTAAACTGCTAGAATGTGCACGATAGCAGCGTCTACCAAAACTCACCCGCAAACCGTAGGCCGAACTACGGCTGCTCTGATTCTTTACTTCCTTCAAGTAAAGATACGTAGGCACAAGGGCCACAATCCTTGCTGAGCACACTCCCCTCTATATTTGTAGTTCCCCGAACTACGTCAACTCTGACTTTCTCACATCTGTTGAGAATACGTAGGCCTAGGACCGCGAAGTCCTACCGAGTCTGTTCTTTCTCTCTTCTTCCCTCGTTACTTCTCTCTCTCCTATTTCTAACCCCTTTTATCTATCTTTTAGAACACTTTTATATCATAATCTTTAAGCATATAAATTCACACGTCGACAAACAAATGGTTCCCATCGTGTACGATGCATGGATGCGAGGGGTGCTAATACCTTCCCTTCGCATAACCGACTTCCGAACCCATTCTTGGTTGCGAGACCATCTTATCCGTCCATTTCTTAAGGTTTTCTCGATATTTTCCTTTCCCCTCATGGGATAAATAAAGTTCGGTGGCGACTCTTCTGTCTATCTTTTTCGCCTCCCCGTCGTTGCACGATGCATTTTTTCGAGTAGCAACAACTGTATATGTATCTAATCGTTGGGTCGAGTCATGCTCTAATCATGTAACACTGAGATCGCTTGGTTTATATATTTTAGAGACACATGATGTACTCTATACTATGTTTTTATATTTATCGAATTATTATGATGTTGGCCCCAGTGCCTAATGATGTTGATTAGGTGGTGAATTCAAATGTTTCTTTTACGAAGATTGTGATATAATTGAATCCGCTGCTACATGCAAAGTGAAACTTTGAAAAGCATGATTATTTATTGAAGTGTTAATGAGCATGACAGGTGGTTTTGATGTTTGGAAGTTATGTGTGACGCCCTTTTGTGAATGCATGATTATTTACTCTGATTATTCATATATTTTTCGTGGGGTAGAGAAGGGTGTTACAGTTGGGATCATAGGGCACGTGTTGATAGGACGGTTTCAGAGGGTAGCCCACTACTTCCTAGTAAATAGGGGAATGATGATTACCTTTTGGATTCATGCACGCCTTGATTAGAATATTGAAGCGGCGTGGTTATGATGACCATGACATCATAACAGTAACGGTACAGTAGTGTCAAAAAGCATCAAAAACGACTTTTTTTGAGGGGATAATTTGTTGGCTGGGATTTTGACACTCATTAATGTTGGAAGTAAGTTAGGAGGTTTCAAGGTCATATCCTGAAGAAAGACATGATGAATTCGACAACAAATAATACAAGGATGTTTCGGCGGTCGTGAAGATTTGAAATGTACTGCTGAAGTTTGAAGAATCATTTTGAGAGGAACAATGTACGTTTCGACAGGGAAATGGTGAAGATCTAGTCGAAGAAATCTTTGCATAGATGACGCTATGATCTAAAACTTAGAAGTATTTTTTCTCAAATTGGAGTTCGACGAAGCCCATTGGAAGGAACGTTTCGACGAATGAGGTTCAAATGAGGCTGGTAACCACCTTTTGGCCTTATCCGTTTCTTAGGACACGTGGAGGATTTTGAAACGACAAAGTGCATGCAGTTGAGAACGTGGCGCATTCTGGCAAAATAATCGTTAAACAACAGTTATTTTTTAATTTAGTATAAATAGGACATTTAGCATTTATAATAGAGGTGTTCAACAATGGTACAAAACTCTACATTTTACTCCCAATAACTGCATGTGAGAAAAGAGTGTTTTTGAGAGAATGTACGATTGAATACCTCTTCTTTACAATCAAAATCATTTAAATTCCAGTCATTTCTCTTCAAGTAATTTATCTTTCAATTTATTTTTTTGTAATCTACATTTCTTCTCTCAATTACAAGAAAACACAATGTTCCATTAATAACGTTGGAAAATATTTAGAGAACATTGTATAAATGTTCGTGATCGTTAAAACCAAAAACTAAATAACAACGTTTTAAGATCAATTTATTAGTTGATTATGTAAATGACTAAAAATTTAATAAATTTAGAGAAGTAGCAATTATTTGTCATTTTTCGACGATAAACACCTTGCCTATGTGCTAGTTAGTCGTTTGCCTTGGAATGAGACGGAGATAAATGATTGTATATCGGCACACGACTGTCTTGGAGATAAATATACTATGACTACTTTTATAAAGAATTCATGATAGTTCATGGATATATTTTAAATGTTTGAAAATGATTTTATATTAAAGGACTACATAGGTAAAAAGGAGTTTTATAAATAAAGACAGAATGAGTAGTATAAATTTTCTACCTTGGAAATAAAGACATTAGAAGATTTACCACAAAAATAATTGACATGAAGAATACTTTTGTGATATTCTTCTCTCCCACCAAACCCAATACAAATTTAGAAAGACATAGAAAGGGTCTTTTTATGACTTGTTATATTGGACTCAACATGAATTTATAGTAGTTGATATAATGAAATTAAGTAGACGAATAAACTTTTAATAATAAAAGTATAATTGAAATAAAAAGTCATAAGATAACTACTACAAGTTTAAAAGCTATTTTAAATAGTTTTTGAAAAAAAACTAAATACTAAAACTAAAAGACAGTGAATATACAAAGACAGTTACTAAATAGAATTTTTAAATTAAAATAAGCTGAAAAGCTAAAAGCTAAGCTCTTTTTTTGGCCAACATACCCTAAATCAACAACTAGTAGACAACAAAGTGAATATACAAAGCCAAACTAGTTGGAAATAGGAATTCATCAAATACAAGGGTTAGACTACTATGTGGTATTGCTCCACTAGCTAGATATAGAAGGAGTACGATTGGTTATGTTTTGATCGAAAAATTCAGTGTTACTAAAAATGTACACAAAGTTTGAATTGTATCAGAGAAATATTACTATAACACTAGAACAACATTTGAAATTAAACATGAAGAAAAGGAATTGTGTTTAAAATAAGTTACAAAATTGCCAAAAACAAATGACAACACAAATTCCTTCTGCACACGATTGAAATTTAGAAAAGAGTCCATGATATTGTCATTCACAACAGGGATTCAATGTCCTTCCTTAGTGACCGAACACCCCGCAATTGATTCGCAAGCTTAATACTTGGCCCCCAAGGTTTCCTTCCCCTGCCAAAAAAAGAAGTTGCAAATTATATCTTAGTTGAATATTTGAACTAGCAACAATTTAAATTTCTCACTTTTCATGAATATTTGAAGAGATATCAATTCTAATTACCTAGAGAAACTAGAACCAGTTTCTGAATTTTCACACAGACTGAGATTCTTAAACTTCGACTCAGATTCTCCAAGTATTTCAAGTTCGAATACAACATTGTCGATAACCCGGGCCAATTTCTCGTCTTCCTCGGCATTATGGTAACAATTTCTTCTCTTTGCATCAACAATTAGCTTACTCCAAATAGAGTCACTACTTGCTAAAGTAGATGCATTTCCTAATATCCATAAACAATATCTGCACACACATAAAAACTTAGTTTCGTCTGTCCAAGAACATGAAAACTTGGGAAATAAGTTACTTACCTCGCTCTCGTCATGGCAACATTTGTTCTTTGCCGGTTTGAAAGAAAACCAACTTTTCCACTCCCATTAGCTCTCACAGTAGACATAATTATAATATCTTCCTCTCCGCCTTGAAAACCGTCAATTGAACGAACACTTACAGAGAAACCAGTATCAGAAACAGAAGTATACTCCTTTATTTTGTCTTGAATTTCAAACACTTGAGCATTATATGGTGATATGATTCCAATGCTAACTTTCTTCTTTGTCCTCACAAACTCTGCAAAAAAAGAACTTACACATATTAATCAATGCATATTAAAGCTTACTATGTGAGACAAAATAAACACAAATGGTAAAGAGAATAACCTTCTTTGAGGTTTTTAATCATCTCAGAAATAACAGCAACCTCGACCGTGTTCATCAAACTGTGTCCTCGGCCGGCTTTTTCCTTACCCTTAGCGACGTTTATAAACGAATAAGAAGCATACAATTCTCCTTTAAGGAAACACTTATTGTAGCTTTCTTCCATAACAAAAGAGGCATCAGAAATCTTCTGATCGTAGAATTCTTGGCAGGGAAACGAGCTTATCGACGGGTGCATTCTATATTGAACATTAAGCATATGTTTCTGGTATCCTAATATTACCAGTCTCTCAAACAAACTTCTTCCAAATCCACAATCGTCAGCAATCTAGAAATATAGTAATTTCAAACATATTACAACAAACAAGACAATGGAAAAACCTTGACAATTCCAACAAAAGTAAAAGACAATAATCAAGTACCTTGCTTTTAACCAGAGCTGGAAGTTGTTTCTCATCACCTATAAGAATACAATGCTGCAGCCCTGGTAGTTGTAACGGAATTGTGGATTCACATTCCTTTAGCTGCGCAGCTTCATCAATAACTAAAAACTTAACTTGATTCATTCCTTCAGTGTACAATTTAATAGAACTGGATACTGTGCACAGAATGAGAGATGCATTGGACAAGCAAAACTTTTCTATCTGAACTCTCCCATTGAGTTCCGGAAGCAAAATTGCACTGGAAAGCAAACGGAGTATTCTCAGGAACTTATCTACTTCAATGTCTGATGGTAGGAAGCAAGAAGGGATGCTTTCTTTTTCAAAACCATCATCACTTTGCTTGAAATTGGCTAGAAACAACGAAATTCCAATAGACTTTAGCGATTCTAGAGCTTTAAACATTTCTTTCACAATTGAAAGTGAAATGAAAGATTTCGGCAAGTGAGTGTATAAAGCCTGAATCAAAAACTTGAGCTTCTCACTTAGTTCGCGAAATCTCTTCTTTACGAACTGCTCCAAAGTCATGATATTTTCAATTTTTTCCTTCTCATCAGATAGGTATTCATCTTCTATGCCCTTCCATACCGTCTGCACATATTCCTCAAATGTCATCTGACTGATTCGCTTGTAAGCATTATATCCCGATAAAACATGGCTATGTTTTTCACTAACAAATTCCTCAAGAGTCTTATGATCATACTCTAAAAAATATTGTTTTCGAGGATCATGAAGAAACTGAGTAATTGATTCTAAGGTATGCTTCCATCCCGTAAATGGAGCAAAGCACTGCATTAGATTCTTTACGCGATAATCAAGAAAGATATCGCCAAGACCAGGATAAGAATCTAACTTCATTCTCTTCCCATTTCCAAAGAGAACAATGTCACCTAAACCATATGTATCATGCTCAAGTGAATCCATAACTAAAGTATGCAACCTCGTCGCAACTTGCAAAATCGCAGTATTAGTAGGTGCACATGTTAAGGTTCTTGTTTTTAACTTAAGCAAAGAAAATAACAAACATGCAACTGTCTTTGTTTTACCAGTCCCTGGTGGACCCCATATAAGTTTTGTATTAGCATGACAACAGTTTATCATACTAACACAGCTTGAAACAACCTCTTCTTGTGATTCATTGAGATTCTGAGAAGAAATTATCTTGTCTTTAATGAAAAGAGATTGACCGCAAATTTTGCAGTTTTCTCCACTCTGAAACACAAAGCAAGCATAAAATTGACTTATTTGGAATCATCTACTTGTATAAGAATAGCATTACGCGTAACATTGCATAGTATGATATCACAAAAAGGAGAAATTATAAAGAAAAAAATGAAAAAATGATTCTTACATTGAGACAAGGCTGCAACACTTTTTTAATAATATCTAGATGTTCGCCCTCAGATTGTGAATTCAAACCTTTCCAAATACGAATGTTCGTCGTCATGTTCATTAGATTAACAGCATACAGCTTCTTGTTATCATTTTTCCTGAAGCCAAACTCAAGCATGGGTTTGGATGACAGTACTGAGACTTCACCAGAAAATTCGTCTTTCGGGGCAACAACATAAGCAACATTGTAAGCACATCGCTGTGTGTTCAAGTCACTTACTCTTTTAGGCTTAACATCAGTAAAAGCAATGAGATCTCCGGGTTCAGGATCGTATTTTCCATTATTATCTGGTGTAGTCTTCAAAGATATCTGATAGAATAATGCATTTGGAAGTTTGAATTGTTTACCATCTCTTTCAACTTTCGAGACTTCGCAGAAAGGAGCTTGAGACACTCCTTGCAAACTTGAGTACAAGTCGGAGTGCGTTTCTTCCAGTAATGGTAAAATGAAGGATTTCTTATAATCAGCTGGTGAATCAAATGTGTAAGGAATTTTCTTCACCTGAAAGAGAGAAAGAGCTAAGTATATACATATTCTTGTACAAAATTTTCATTGAAGTGTGTTGAAAAGAGGTAAAAGAAAAGAACCTGTTTCCTGTAGAGATTTTCGTTGAGAACATCCTTGAGAGTCCATTTGAAGACAATATCCAGAAATCCAAAAGCTGCATTCTCGTTATCATCCTCATTTGCATGGCTATTACTACTCTTCCACATCTTTAATAATTGATCACTTCTTTCTCAAGGAACAAAAACAGACACTAAGTATGATACTATTTGAATGTGTGTGTGTGTGTGAGAGAGAGAGATTATATATGCGATAATATTAGTGGAATATGAGAAGTTAGCTTCATGCAGTGTTTCTGTTACAAAAAAAGAGTTGCATGCGCAAGGGGAAAGAAATTTGCTACTAATAATTAATACCACTTTCATTGGAAATGATAAGATGCATTGTTGCATGATTTTTCGACTTCTAAAACTCTTTTTTCGTTTCCATGGCTTAACTCAATCATTATGGCAATGTAGTTGTTGATTATACATACTCACCCTCTACAGATTTCACGTGATATGAAAAGTTGTTGTTACTGGATTAAATTTTAAAAAATGTAATTTTAATTTTATATAAGTATAGAAAACATTTTCTGTTTTTTAAGTATAAATATAATGTGACTACTTTTATAGAGAAATCATAATAATTCATGTAAATATCATAGATATTTGAAAAAGATTTTATATTAAATGACTACGTAGAAGAAGTTTTATAAATAAAGACAAGTTGGGTAATTTTATATAAGTTTTATAAATAAAGACAAGCGTGATAATATCAACTTTTATGTTGAATTAGATTTTAACTAATTCGTTATTCAAATTGTTCAAACTTCAATGGATTGGATTAATTGTACAACCTACAATTTTACCATTAAAGTTGAAGCAAACCGACGCGTTCATTTTTTAGCTAGGTTGGCTTTGGAGTTGTGTTTCAATTAAAAAATAATTTTTTTCAATTATTAAAATATTGTAACATATTCAATACAATTACACTCATTTCTAACATTCAAATTGGATGAAATACATCATATAATGTCTTATAAATTCATCCACATAACATAACACTTGATAATATTAATAGTAGAAAATTCTACAAGACATATTATTTCTATAAAATGCGTAAGTTGTTAATGATACAAAAGAAAATAAAATAAAAAAACATTTAGTTTTAGAATTACATTAATTTACCCATCTAGTGGTAGTATTGGAGGTGAATAAATTTTTTTGGAAAAATTGTAATTAGTAGTGAGACTATTTTTATTTATAATAATAATAATAAAGTGGTGGAAATATGGTGGTGGTGGTGGTAGTTTAGAAGCTGATATAAAATTATTTATGGATGATAGTGATGCATTTGAGTTAGCTACATTTGTTGATAACTATAAATGTGAGATTAAAATCTACGCTAAGCCCAAACCATATACAGGGGAGGCAACATTTATGAGAATGTAAGACAGAGGAATAAGGGGAAAAAGGTGAATATGATGCTGATACATCTACCGATGTTAGTGGGGATTCTAGTGATGACTTTGTCAATGGTATCAAATTTGAAGATAGTGAATAAGAAAGGATGAATGGATTTGATGAGGGTTTTGATGAGAAGAGGAAGAGTGTTATATATAAGCATAATATTTTGAATGATAGGGATGTGAAATTTGGAGGAAAAAAAATAATGCAGTGAGGTGGGGGATGGTTTGTAAGGAAAAAACAATGTGACTAAGATGTGTTGTGTAGTAAAGTCTTAACATTAACAAATTTAGGCTATGTTTGGATACGGTAAAGCGAGCGGAGTAGATTGGAGCATAATGGAGTGGAACGGAGTGGAATGAAAATAAAGATATCATTCCATTGTTTGAATATTTCATGATGAAACATATTAGTTTTATCATTCCGCCCAAATTAAAGGTACAAAAAGTGATGGAATGGGATGGAATGCATTCTATCAGGATCTCTTCATTCCATCCATTTTTAATTAATCCAAATAACATAATTTAAGTTTCTTCCATTTCATCAATTCAAACATACCTCTAGAATTAAGATATTGTTTAAAAAACATAAATGTATAAGGTGTAACACCCTAAATATCCCCACAAAATTTATAAATAATTTTTAGAGTAAATTAAAATAACATGCATTTAGGATGCTACTTTCAACAAAAACTCTCTCATTCGATTAGATATATAACACATAAATTTAACAATAATAATAATAATAATAATAATAATAATAATAATAATAATAATAATAATAATAATAATAATAATAATAATAATAATAATTCATAAGTCCAACGTCACTCTTTATTGCAGCGAAAAACATCGACAACCAGATATCTTAATATTTAAAACATCATCATAATTATAAAAATTACAGACATAAGACTTGAACATGATAAACCCCCACCAAACATAATAAAACACAAAAAGGTTACATCCAGTGTTACAGATCATAGTAGGCGCCGACTCAATGGAAATAAAAGAAAGAGCACCCTCTTTTACTCACATCACGCCTCTATTGCAGATTATCTGCACGATACCCATGTAAATGAAACATTCAAACATAAGAGGTGAGATATCACAATTATATAAAGCAATGCATAATAATAAGTAAGCATCAGAGCATTACATGCATAATCACTCATTTCACCAATCACACTTCTACGCAAATCCTAACACAACAGCACAACGACTATGCAATGCAATGAGACTCAACACTATGACTCAACGCATGTGGTACCAATATGTGAACTCTCATGTTCACTCGGTCCGATCCCCACCTAGGATCTGAGCACACCAAAACCGTTACCATCACCATAGGTAACACTTCACTAATTCCATCACCATATGAATTAGCTACTCGTACCCAATCAATCACCATACGATTAAGACTCACCAAAACAGACCACCGTCCAACACCATGATGCATGCAACATTAGATACATACAATAACAACAAGTACATTGAAATTCACCATAGTCAGGTAATACACCAATACTGGCCACCATGCACCATACACATGTTATAAATATTCAACAACATCAATTTAATAATATATCAAGCAACAAAAATGCATTCACGCACATTCCACACCATAACATACACATCACATCTCATTTAACACCATTACGCAATAATTAATTTGATATCAGGTACCAAAATTAATTCTAAGTTAAAGTACATCGCACCAACTTCCCGACACTTCGAACGGTACCTCAAACTGACACTCATAGCTCAAGATATGAATTTTTAAAGATTTACAAATTTTTCTTTACACCAACTGCAATAACCGATTATACCCTGTAACAACGCCACTGCCTAGCCACCGCCACTCAGTGTAACTGGTTACGTAAAATGCAGTAACCAGTTACACCCCTTCAATTTTGCCCAGAAACGTTACTTTTTAACAGTGCAGTTGGTTACACCATTCCTTATGACCGGTTACACTTTTAGCAAAATCATTTTTCTACTACTCTATCAGTACGAAAATCACTTTTTATACATCTCAAACCCCCCAACTCACATATAATTCACGTACTCATGTTATAGACTCCAATTCATATCCACATATGTTAACAAGGACATTCCAACAACATCAAAATCATCAAAACATCACATAATTGTACAATTCACACCAATCAACTCATCAAACAACAACACCTCATGATCGCATAATTACAAGTTCATGGACATACAATTACAAGTTCATAGCATAAAAAAAATCTAACAAAGCAATCCAAATCTCCACCCACAATTATCATACAAACCCTTATAGAATCGGAACCCCACCCTTATCTTAGACAATGATCTTAAGACTTCTCTAATGGAGGTTCCCTTCATATTCTCTAGCTCTCTTCCTCTTTTCTTCTCTCTTCGCGTTCTTTTCTTTTCTTCAATTTCATGTTACTCACAACTTCCCTTCTAACCCCTTTACTCTTATGTTTATCCCCATATTATAATTATTATTATTCCTATTAATTCCTTATTCTAATAAAATAAAAATAAATTTTATTCTATAATGTTACATCACTATAATAATTAAAATAATCATTTAATTATTATCACTATTATTATTTTATTCAATTAAATTATAAATTAAATAAAATAGTAAATGACACTCTCCCACCCCCATGTTTCTACGCTTTTACTCACACATCCCTATCACCTTCAATTATATTCCTTAAGGTCACTACCCTACACCAAAGGACACCCCTAACACACCAAAACACAAATCAACACATAAATACACACAACTTTAATTACAAAATTAAACTAAAATAAACTGAGGCGTTACAACTCTCCTCCACTTAGAATATTTTCGTCCTCGAAAATTTTACCTGATGCGAACAACTCTGGGTACGACTCATGCATCCTCCTCTCCAACTCCCATATCATATTCCCTTCGGTAGTGCCTCCCCACACTATCTTCATGAGAACAATCTCATTGCCTCTCAACTACTTCAATTCACGATCTTCGATTCTCACAGGTAAAGCCTCAACTGTAAGATTATCCCTCACTTGTACATCATCCATTGGAACCACATGCGACAGATCTGGAACATACTTCTGAAGTTGTGAAACATGGAATACATCAAGTAAATTCTACAAATTTTGTGGCAACGCCACTCTATAAGAAACCACCCCAATCCTCTCAGAAATCTGATACAAATCAATAAACCAAGGGGTAAGCTTCCTCGACTTCAAAGCACGCCTAACACCGGTCACCGGAGTGACTCTCAAGAATACATGCTCTCCCTCTTGAAAATCGAGATCCTTCCTCCTCTTATCATGGTAGCTCTTTTGTCTACTCTGCGAAGCTTTCATCTTCTTTCAAATCAACTTCACATTTTCAGTAGTCTGCTGGACAATCTTGGGTCCAAGCACTACACCTTCAACAGATTCAAGCCAACATAAGAGTGTCCTACACCTCCAACCATATAATGCCTCGAAAGGTGCCATCCCAATACTAGAATGAGAACTATTATTATAAGTGAATTCTATCAGCAGTAGATGACTATCCCAAGCACATTCTTGCTTCAGAGCACAAACCCTCAACAAATCCTCCAAAGACTGAATAGTCTTCTCTGTTTGACCATCTATCTATGGTTGATAGGCAGAACTTAACCTCATCCTAGAACCCAAATCTTTTTGCAAACTTTCCCAAAATATAGA